TCTAGACTTCAAAACATTCTTTTTTAATTTGCGCGCAGAAGTCAGTTCTTTTTCAACAGAAAGCTAAAATTTCACTCTTTAAAATACGACGAAAATTAACAGCGCATATCACTGCATTTATAATTAAAGAATAAGATACAAATTTCACATATTCAATCAGGTACAACTAAGAAAGTACCGAAGACATAAAAGCGTGATCCGACACGATTCAAGTACACACTAGATCGAACTAATTTCCATCATTTGTCATTTAATAGCGATAAAAAACAAAGCCCTAATAATCGACGATTTTAATTACTCTTCGAGATTGGCTGCTTCAAAGTAGTCCTGTTCCTCGTGACCCTCTTCGAAACAGACAAATGGCAAAAAAAATACATACTAAATTATAGCCTATACGGCCAATTAACTCTCGGTAAAAATTTCCCCCGCTGCAAGCGTACTCTTACAAAATGACGTTTTACCGCGTTCGGCGTTCGATCGGGCCCCACAGCGGCCCGCCGTCGTTTCCCTCGTGCTCGCGCGCGACGATGCCAATTTTCAGCCGGATAATTAAAGAACGTCGGCCCACTCGGCGTGGCTGCATAAATTACCGGACGGTTTCATTTTATTAGCTTCCCCGAGGGACACGTGAATCTCGGCGGGGCGCGGCGCGGCGCGGCGCGAGAGGCGCGGCCAGGTGTAACGGGATTTGCGTACCGTATTGTCGGAGAGGAAGCGCCCTCCTGCTACACCCCCACCATCCCTGCTACCTGTATTTCACTCGCGGCGGACAGGTATCCGAGAAGTTTACTCGGGACCGGGATCCCCCGCTGCGTGGGGGAGGGGGAGGGGGGAGCCACGGGCGCCGCTGAAAGTCCTCTCTGCGGAACAGGATTTTAAGGCCCAGCTATCCGGAATCGGTTTAACTGTCCGCGGACGCAGATAGTGTTGCGGCCACGGAACAAGCCGGTGACAATCGGAGTAATTAGCGGCGCATTATTTATTCCGGCAGAAAGCGCTGCTTTCTCCTTGTACCTCTCACGGTTCCCGGTGACGCAAGCGGCGGGGCCACGCCGGCCATTTTCTCCGGCCACGTTTAGGCTAAAAACCTTTGTCCTGGCCCCGTTGCTGTCTCCGGAAAGCTCGCGATTTTCGCTGCGGAGCGAATCGCGGCGCGAAGGGAGGAGAGATCGTTGAGCAATAAATTATAATATTATATATATAAGTTATAATAAATTTATATTATAGTTTTTCTTATATTATTATATATTAATTATATATTACAGTTTCTATAATATATTAGTTATATATTATTGTTTCTATTATATATTAATTATATGTTATAGTTTCTATTATATATTAATTATATATTATAGTTTCTATTATATATTAGTTATATATTATAGTTTTTATTATATATTAATTATATATTATAGTTTCTATTATATATTAATTATATATTATAGTTTCTATTATATATTAGTTATATATTATAGTTTTTATTATATATTAATTATATATTATAGTTTCTATTATATATTAATTATATATTATAGTTTCTATTATATATTAA